ACCCTAAAACCCTAGACCTTAAACCCTAAACCCTAAACCTTAAACCCTAAACCCTAAACCGTCGCTGTTTGGGTGCTTGTAGATTGGTGGTTTTGCGGCTAGGCTTCGGGGCTCTGGGTCTGAGAGTTTGAGATTTTGGCCCCTGGGGCACTGAAGAAGCAATGTGGGGGGCCTTACCTATATCTTTTTGGGGCTCATTATCATAATTATAGTATAAATTGTGGGGCTCCTTATCATAATTATAGTANNTAATTATAGTATAATGGGCCTCAGAACCCTATTCTAAAAAAAAAGCCCCTATATCAAGAATCTTGCCGCAGTCAGGAAAGTCTGTGCTAGTGGAATCTAGTGGAAGCCTGAAGCAGGAAGGCCGGGAAGGAAGTGAAGCTGGGAGGGCCTCTCAACGAAAAGCGACACAGCCTGCAGGTAGTCTCGAAACATTGTTGCCCAATGCTTTAAAGGAGCAAGAAGCACAACACAGCTCTACTTAAGATCCCAAGCCCTTTACTCCCAAATCCCACCCCCCCAAACATCCAAAAAATCATAAGCCTACCTTCTCACCCCTCAGGCTCCGAACCCTAAGCTCCCCGCAACACTAAACCCTAAACCCCAAACTCCAAACCCTCAACCCTAAACCCTAAACCCTAAACCCCAAACCCTAAACCCTAAGCCCTAAGCCCTTCTTGCTGGAGGAGTCCTCGCAGTTCAATCCCACGGCGGTGCTTCCCGGGCCGCTCCACTTGCTCATCGACACATCGCTGAGCCAGCAGCCGGCGGCCTACGAGTTCTAGAGTTTCTTGGGGTTTTAGGTTGAGGGTTCAGGGTTTTGGGCTTTGCGTTTTAGGGTTTAGGGTTTAGGGCTTTGGGTTGTAGGGTTTAGGGTTTTAAGTTTTAGAGTTTAGGGTTTTAGAGTTGAGGATTTTAGGGTTTAGGGCCTAGGGCTTTAGGGTTTGGGGCTCAGGGTTTTAGGGTTTAGGGCTTAGGGCTTTAGGGTTTAGGGTTTAGGGTTGTAGGTTTTCAAGGGTGATTAGGGTTTGGGGGTTTAGGGTGTAGGGTTTAATATAAGAGCCTAAATAATGACCTCTACTAGTGCGGGGGTTCCTTACTAAAATAATTGTAGTAGAATATAACCCAAAACCCGATTCTAATTATTAAGGCCCCTGCATTAGGTTTTCTAGGGGTGATTAAGGTTTTGGGGTTTGGCTGGTGGAAGACAAGAACCCCATTTCCAAATCCACAGACTGAGGTCCTTTGGCATCAAGACGTTCGTCAACGTCCGGACATCCGTTGTCTCGGCCTTACATGATCGCATGGGGATTCCGGCAGAAGAAGATTGACAGTTTGTGCTGTAAAGGCTGCAGACTGCAGAAGCGTAGTTTAAGTCTTACAGTAGTCTTCATATTGGTATTGTTATCCTTATCGCTATCAGTAGGTTTCGGAGTCTGTTTACCTTTTCGGGACGCCTGAACCCCAAAGCCTTGCTGGCGCTGCGTTCCCATAACCTCTGTGGTTGGGGCTTTATTGCCGGGCTTTATGGCTTTAGGGTTTCTATGCGGGTCTCATAAAGGGACTTAAATAAGCTTAGGGACCCCGAGACACGAGCAATCCTACGGAGCCTTCCCAAGCCATCCTCTAAGCCCTAACCCCTAAACTCCTAAACCCCTAAACCCCTACACCCTAAACCTCTACCCCCGAAACCCCAAGCTCTGAACTCCAACCCCTGAGCCCTAAACTGCCCAAAATCCTACACCAGAGAGAGGCCCGGTGTGTTGAGGCCAAAAGCCACGCAGCCTAAAGCCCCAAAGCCGAAACCGAAGACCCCGGCTTAGGATTTAGAATTTAGGGTATAGGGTTTAGGGTTCGGGGTATAGGGTTTAGGGTTTAGGGTATAGGGTTTAGGGTTTAGGGTTTAGGGTATAGGGTTTAGGGTTTAGGGTTTAGGGTATAGGGTTTAGGGTTTAGGGTATAGGGTAAAGGGTACAGGGTATAGGGTTTAGGGTATAGGGTACAGGGTCTAGGGTTCAGGGTATAGGGTTTAGGGATTTTAGGGTTTCCAAGAGCCTTGAAGCCTTAGCCCTAAAGGCTCACACCTCCTAACACCGGCCTCTTTGTTCACCACCGGAGCTCCTAGGCCGGGAGCGAGGACTAGGGGGACCCTTGGGGATATAGACCCTCTCAATAAGGTCCCTTTTAAGAGAGCCAAAAAGTAGGGTTCCGAAGGGGTGCCCTTTAAGGGCTACCCCTAATAATACTACCTAAGGCCGGGAGCTTAGTGTTCTTCTTTGAGGGCCCCATCAAGGCGAACATGAGACCCTAATGTAGCTCTATACCTTACAGCTTCGCCTTTAGTAGAAGGCCTGTAGTAGAAGAACTGCAAGAATCCTTTGGGCTTAGGGTTTTGGGCATAGGGTTTAGGGTATAGGGCTCTGTGTTTAGGGTTTAGGGTTTAGGGTATAGGTCTTAGGGTAGTAACTTTGTCAATAGCAGATGTGTAGCAGACCTTGAGCCTGAAACCCCGAACCCGATATCCTAAACCCTAAACCCTAAACCCTAAACCCAGAAATGAACCCGAAAAGGAGCCCTTACGGGAACCCGAGTACAATAGGTAGAGGGTGCCCTTCTTTACTTGGCCCTAAGCCCCAAAAATGAACCCTAAGACCTAAGAAGGAACCCTTAGAAAGGCACCCCAGTACTGTAGTAAGTGCCCTCCTTTAGCCCTAAATAACCATAAACCCTAAACCCTATACCCTATACCCTAAACCCAAAACCCTAAACCCAAAACCCTAAACCCTAAACCCTAAGCCCTAAGCCCCCCTCCCCCCCCAAAAAAAAAGATCCTTTAGCAACGCGAAGAACTTGCACGCCAAGGCGGAGAGCCTCCTGCAGTTCCACGAGGCCACCAGATGGCTAAGGGCTCTTTGTAGGGTTTAGGGTTTAGGGTTTAGGGTTCAGGGTTTAGGGTTTAGGGTTTAGGGTTTAGGGTTTAGGGTCAACAATTAGAATAGGGTATTTTGGGGCCCATTATACAATACTTGTATAATGAGGAACCCGAAATAGAGTATTTCCAATAATATTTTTTTTGGCGGGGTCCCTTGGTATGATCATAGTATGATATACCCCCCAACCCTACTCCAAGTATTAAAGCCGCTATATTGGGCGTAAGCGCGTTTAGGCTTCAGGGGTGGAGAGCTTTAGGATACTTTGAGGGTTTAGGATAGGATGTAGAGGGTTAGGGTTTGGGGTCTAGGGTTTAGAGTTTAGGGTTGCAGCTCAAGTTTCAGAACTTACAGGGTCCTAGTCTAGCATGGACCCTAGGTGGCGGGCTCGGCGCTTTGCAGACGACGACTTCAGATGTCGGTTCGCGTTCCGTTCTTTGCAGGTTGTTGGGGCTAAGAGTTCAGGCTTAGGGTTGTGGGATGTAGGGTTGAGGGCTTTGGGTTTCAGGGCTGCGGGCTTCAGGGCTGGGCTTGGGGGTTTGCATGGTTAGGGTTCAGGGGGGTGGGTCTGTGAATGCTTCAGGTCAGGTGCGGGATAGTGCAACACAGGGTTCGGCGAGGCGGATACCCAAATCCCTGAACCTTCAACCCAGGGCCAGTTGCTTTGAGGTTCTAGTGGTTTAGGAAGCAGGGGTTGAGGTTTGGGGCTTGGGGTTCCACGTTTCGGGCCTAGAGATTCGCTTGAGTGGGTGTTCGGGGTCTCAACTTTGAGACTTTATTGGTGTTGCTCAGGTTTGGCATTTAGGGTTGAGGAGTACAAGGAGGGGGCTGACATCGTTTTGGGGTCTTTATAACGGTTCTCTGCGGGTTCTACGCAGTTCTACAGTTACAAGGCTTATACTCCACACCCCTAAAAACTAAACCTTTCATCAAAAACCCTGAGCCCGTGGATTCTATACGGGTTCTGTGACGTGATCCACTTGGAATGGGGACTTGCGCCCCAGTTGCGGGATGTTATCGGTCCCTGTTGCAAACCAACCTCTTACAGAACCTCGTCAGACCCCATTGTAACCCTATAAAACCCTACAAAGCCGCAAAAGAAGCCCTGTAAAACGCCCTACAACGCCCTACTAGCATGAAGTCTTATCTACATGAACTCTCCATATAAGCCCTCTACGACCCCTATCGAAACCACTATGAAGTCCTAGCAAACACCAAGCCCCCCCCCCCCCCCCCCC